AAAACTCGACACCTATATGACAAAAGTATAAATCATACAAACTTAAAAAGGAATAGGTCAAACGCAAGAAGCAAGAAAAGCTACAAAAAACAGCGCTTCACATCAGCAAGTGTGCATGAAAATATGTCCAAAACATTTTCAACGGCACGATAATTATATATCATTTGATACAATGGAGATTTTAACAAAACATTGGTACGGGCTTGAGGTATAAGGAATGCATTGCTAAATCGATTGTTAAGCCTAGGCACCCTAAAATTCAAATACGCCAGCAAAGCATCGGAAACAACTAAATAATGTACAATCTTAAAGAGAAGCCGTACACAACACATTTGACGCCTCGAAATTAGGCTTTGCAATTCGAAACGGTTATAAAATATAGCCTGTTGTGTCCCTCGCGCAGGATAAACACCGTCCAATATAAATGCTGCCGACTTGAAAAATCTTCTTTGAACCATTTCCATCGCGGAAATCTGAAATTCATAGATCGGACTCCATATGACAGAGCCATATTCAAGTTTAGATCTAATGAAAGTTATATACAATAATCTAAGCGATGTAGACTCTTTAAAATCCCTTGCATTGCGCAGAATAAACCCCAAGTTCTTATAGGCCCGAGATATGCAGTCCTCCATATGACGCGCAAACCTAAGTTTTGAATCAAAAATAATTCCCAGATCCTTTACAAAATCAGGCCTCTCGAGCACACAATCGTCAAGCATGTAATTAAATAAAATTGGATTTAATAAACGATAAAAAGACATTACTCTACATTTGGATGCATTTAAGGGTAATCTATTGTTATTACACCAATTGCTGAAGGTCAAAAGATTGTTTTGCAGATCGTCACAATCATTAGGGCTGTCAATTCTACGGTATAATTTGACGTCATCAGCATACAGAAGGTAATGCACATTTAGATCTTCAACAATGTCATTAATGAACAACACAAATAAAAGAGGGCCCAATATCGAACCCTGAGGAACACCAGACGTCTGAGAGAACTTGTTCGATCTGAAACCTCGAAATTGAACAAACTGATACCGATCAGATAAATATGGTCTAAATACACTCAACAAGTCGGTGCCAAACCCAAATCGATTAAGCTTCTGCAAGAGCAACGCATGATTAATCTTATAAAAGGCTTTAGAGAAGTCCGTATAAATGACATCCACCTGACCCCCTCGATCTAGACCTTCAGATATAAATTGTGTTTTACATACCAGATTAGTAATAGTAGATCTACCCTGAACAAAACTATGTTGTTCAGATACAATCATATGAGATACATGATGCATAATATGTGAATGCAAGATTACCTCCAGTACCTTGCAGAAATTACATAAAATCGAAACAGGTCTATAATTAGCAAAATCATTTTTAGCATCTTTTTTATAAATGGGTGTAATTCTTGACAATTTTCATAGAGTGGGAAAGTTACCCGATGTTAGTATAAGTCTAAACAAAATCGCCAAAGGTTTACAAAACGCCGCTGAGCAGTCTCTGACAAGAAAGGCTGGGATTAAGTCAGATCTCATGCACATATTAGCTTTAATCCTTTTAATGGCAGCGAGTACATCCGACTCAGAAATGCTGGGTTTATGAAGAACAGAAATATGTACATCATCAAACAACACATCAACATTGTCTACGGAATCAAAAGCGTTAGAGAAGAAAGTAGCAAACGTATTTATAATATCCTGCGGATCATCAATGTTAACATTATTGAGTGTCATGATAGATGGAATAGATGTAGTACCACGCTTAGAATTTATGTATGACCAAAAAGCATTTGGATTATGCTCGCCCGACTCTTAAAAGAAGCTCTAATATTTTTGAATTCTTCACAATCAAAAGGAGATCTAGTGGACTTATACAGTTTATATGCCTTGTTTTTACTTTTCCAAAGTGAAATAACTTCTCTTGTGAACCATCTAGGAAATTTCCTATTATAGTTTGAAAATTTACTCTTGTGAACGTGTTTCGTTAAAATACCATTCAATATATTATAAAAAGTTTCAATAGCATTGTCTACATGTGTAAATGAAGATAGAATGGTCCAATCCACTAAAGGCAAATCATGATATAAGTTATGGAAGTCAGCCTTTTTATAATTCAAATAACCTATGTCTCTGTTCAAAGGAAAGGCATTAACACTGTCAGCAGCTGGAAAATCTATGTCAACAACAAGAGCCGGATGATGTAAGTCAACAGGTAGCAACAACTCCTGAGCTTGAGAAACAGAGCAGTGAACATTACTTAAAATAAGGTCCAAAATTCTGTTATTAGTGTTGTGAACAGAGTTATGCTGGTCTAGATTAAAACAATTCATAAAATTGTGGAGGGAGAGCAATGTTTGGTCAGCTTGATCATTCAACAAGTAAGAAGAAAAACCCGGAATATTAAAATCACCTAGAATAATAATATTAGAACTATACAATGGCTCAAGCGACGCAAAAGCCTCAAAAAGACTATCATACACAACATAACGAGAACCTGGCGGTATATAAACATTGAAGATCATGATGAAAATGCTTTAATAGTCAATGCTGCACGCTATACTGACATGATTAACCAGTTCCTTACACAGCAACAGAACATGTTTCCACAGAACAATAGCTGGTTCCAGCAAGATGGCGCTACTTCACATACCGCAAGAGCATCAATGGATTCCGTGCGAAGATTGTTTCCAGGTCGTATTATCTCCAGACACGGAGACATTGAGTGGCCCCCAAGATCGCCAGATCTTAACGGCATGCGACTACTTTTTGTGGGGCTATCTAAAAAGCAAGGCGTTCCTTGACAAACCACGAGATATTCAGGAGCTGAAAATGAAAATTCGGGAAGAAATTGCTAATATTCCGTTAGATATGTTGCGTCGTGTTATTCAGAATTTCAACGTTCGGCTCACGAGTGTGTGGAGAGAAGAGGAGGCCATTTAGCAGATATAATTTTTAAGAAATAAAAATGGCACACAATTATCTTGTTATTGCTATACTTTGTTTTAATTAAATAGTTACTTTCGGAAATACGTCATTTTCAAAACTTCCCGCTCCCATGGTCCACCTTGTAGTATAGGAAGATTGTAAAGTCCTTGCTGAACGTTTTAGGAATAAACCAATCCTAAGAGTTTGTCACAAAGTCGGTGTTACATCCTATATTTTTTAATTTATTTTATTTTTTTCATCGATAAGTGTCAAATTAAAGAATAGTAATATGAAAATTTAAATAATTCCATAATAACGGTCAATAAAAACTGTGATTTAAAAAAATAATCTTGACTTAAAATTAAAAATACTTTCTTATTCGTTTCATTCCATAATATTTCTACTAAGTACTTACATTAACATTACCTTGCCATCAATTTTTTTTTAATTTCTGGATGCTATCATAATTACTTATTATATTTTTAGGTTCCGAAAGACGTACGTCAGAAGAAGAAACAGAAACAGAGAAACATACGTTAGAAAAAGAAGCAGAAACCAAAGCAGGTAACTAGATAATTATTTACGTTCAGTGAACGTTAAGGTAAATTTAATTAATTTTTTTTTTTTTCAGGTTGCAAGGGCTTAAGTAGTAATATTATATTACTATTAATAATGTACTTTATATTTACTTAAATAAATGCTTTACGACCATTGAGTTAAATTTAAAAAAATGCTCCTTTAACTTAAGTATCGGGCATTTTATTTATAAAAAGGTCATTGAAATATATACACAACGCAGAAACAGAAGGAATGGGAGCACCTTATACTAAGTTAATTATCTAAAAAATTCGCAACGCAAGAGAGATGTAATCCAATGTAAATAATATAACATCCCTAGGTGGTATCTATTCTTTGGTTAATCAAAAGTTGGGAAAACTTAGACCAAAATAAAAATATGTAAATAAAAAACACAAATTAGTTTATGCTACAAAGTTATTCTTTTCAGTGTACAACGTCTTGGTTGTCGAGAGAAACTTTCAAGATTTTATATCTTTAAGCTAATTCACAGGCTGACAAAACTTGATCCAACAACACGAATATACTTTCCCAAAGGATTTTGGTGGGCTGAATTCAATTCCGAGGTCCAAATTTCTCAATTTCTGATCTGGTTTTCGAGATATCCTAACCTAAAAGTGTCAAAATCATGACTTTTTGACATATTTCAGATTATGTTACATGGACAGGTAATTTTTTTTTGCTATAACCATTAATGGGATCTTAAAGTACTAGATTTAGTCTTTAAAACGTACTTGGATTTATCCCGATAGTGTTTTTCGTCTTTGAGAAATCGCATGTTGAAATTTAGTAGTTTCTTATTTCTCCATTTTTGAATATAATGTGAGAGACAAGGCTCTTTTTCGCGAGTGAATATTGGTGAATACGTCTGACTTGTAGTTACTGTTTCTATCTTTTTTAATCTTATTTCTAATCTTGTCTAACCAGAACAGATCGCGAAAATGTATATATTCACTATTCAGTGGTGCAGCCTGTCATATAATATGTACTTTGACGACTTTGACATATGGGTTCTAACTTCTAACCAGTAACCATAATTTGTCATCCTTTATTGCTTCCAGTAGTCTAGTGTAGTGGGAATTGGTGTTATCTCACTATATAATATATGTATTTGCTTCAATGCTTTCTTTGGAATATTTTTAAGTGGCAAATTTAAAAAGCGTGAAAAGTATGTAGATTCTGATGCTGCAAGATATGCGAATATTCGACATAATCGTTATCGTAAAAGAGTGGAATTTGGTCATTTATGTCAATGGCTACAAAACAGAAATTGTGACATGGCTCTATATTTTTTGATATTTTTGTGTAATGAGGATGATGATGTTCCTTATTTATGTTATAAGTTTAGAGAATCATATCATATATTCTCTATTCCAGAAAAAAATTAAACTAGAAAGAGGTTAGGTTGGTTTTTTATGTAATTCATACGAAAAAGACCTGAATTACAAATGATTCTACCAATATTATCTCTGGCCTAGGTCATAAAAAAAGAGGATAATCCTGAAGCAAAGTGGATCGCAAATATATCCCATACAGAAAATTAATCTTACCATTAAGTAAAATATTTGCTGTTTCAACGTCTACGTTTACTAAAACATCTGTGCCTCAAAAGATTAAATTTAAACTGACCACTTCCACAGCTGTATCAGAATCCATCATTTTGCTGAACGATTTTTATCCTCATTCAAACAAAATGTCAAAAAGAAAAAGGTTAAGTTACCGGCTGACAATACTAGTTGAATATACCAACAGAATATTCAGCTGAAGGGTGAAGAGTTCAGTCATTTGATCTAAACTTGTGACGTCACATAGTAGTTTAAATGACTGACTATTCTCGCAAAAACGTAATATTCACTCATACTACACATACTACAACATACGACTTCACTCGCGAAAAAAAGCCTCTTGTATCGAGCCGCCGTCATTGTTTATAATAAATGTCAAAACAGCGATAAAGTAGATGTGGCTTCGATATAAGGAACGCCTGCAAGTTGGGGAGAGACAGGGATTCATTCCTGATATAGACTTATAAGTGTTGAGTACTGTACTGTTAATAATTGATTTCATGTTATATTTAATTCCTGGATTGTTATAAATATTTTCTCAAATTACCGTGTTTTAACAATACTCACAACACAGCACCATAAACGGGTTTATGGGCTTAGGGTTTATGAGTTCCGGAGATACCGGCCGTATGTCGAATTTTTAGTAATTTAATAAGATTTTTGCAAAATTTGACGTGATAGAGTAAGGTACTTGAGGTATACAGGCTGTCTTCTAAAAACGCCGCAAGCCATAACTCCATTATTTATAGTCTGATTTTAAAAAACAAAAAATTAAATGAAATGGCTCTAAATACACTATAAAGTGAGGCTATTAGAGCTCATTTACTATTTTTTTTTTTGAAAAGCGGTAGTCAACTTTTTTTTTCAAATGGCATTATAGTTTTTTTTGTTAAGTATTTGTTATTGTGCAGATTTATTTTCTGAATCCAACGATGTATATGAACATTACATTTGTAAAGCATTTATTACAGAAAAAATGACAAAATATTAGTCGATACCGCATTCGGCGACTGGCCACTGACAAATGTATTTTAGCTAATCATCTGTGCCATGGAAAACAAAAAATAGTACATCAAAGCAAATAAAACTCAAAAGAGAATGTCAGTGTTACGAGTTATGAGAAACAACTACTCCAAGAGCTAATATGCTCATACCTGCGTTGAATTATACTCGCAACACTTAGTGCAACAGCTAGGATCGTTTGTCAGTTTACCCACCAGGCACAGACCGGTTTCGGACTTATTAGTTCTCATCAGTGTGTCATAGGTGCGATAACCGACAAACGACCCAGCTGTTCTTGTCGTATCATCACGAAAAGGAAATACATTGTACGCGGGAGCGCAAATGGCTCCATCTGTATTTCATTTATATATTTAAGACCCCGCTCAACGTGAATCCGCGGTCAGCATTAATGGTTCTTTTTCCAATCTCAAAAAACGGGTCAATTAAAGTCAGATATCACGAATTTTCAAACAATAACAGATTCGGGCCGAATTTGGTATACGGGGATTTTCTTGGTCGCTGATCACGGATCCGAGGTAAATTTTGCAAAATTCAAGATGACGGATCCAAGATGGTCGACCAAATTTTCAAAAAATAACATAATCGCAGCAAATTTGGTATACGGGGGTTTTCGGGGTCGCTGACTACGGATCCGAGGTCAATTTTTCAAAATTCAAGATGGCGGATCTAAAATGGCCGACAAAATTTTCAAATAATAACAGAATCGCAGCAAATTTGGTATACGGGGGTTTTCGGGGTCGCTGATTACGTATTCGAGGTTAGAATGCGAAACTCATTTTGTAATATTTTACTTTATAACGTGAGTACACAAACACGTTTTAATCTACTTTTTTTCGGCTATATCTTGTTCTTTTTTCTGTAAAAAATCTATTCACGGATTGAATTTTGTAAATCTGATCTCGGATTCGTGATCAGAGACCTCGAAAACCCCCGTATACCAAATTTGGCGCGAATATGTTATTTTTTGAAAATTTGGTCGGCCGCCATATTGAATTTTACAAAACTGACCTCGAATTCGTGATCAGCGACCCCGAAAACCCCCATCAACCAAATTTGATGCGAATCTGTTATTTTTTGAAAATTTGGTCGGCCGTGATCAGCGACCCCGAAAACCCTCGTATACCAAATTTGGCGCGAATTTGTTATTTTTTGAAAATTCGTGATATCTGACCTTAATTGACCCGTTTTTTTTGAGGTTAGAAAAAGAACCATCAATTCTGACCGCTAAATTTTCCTAGCACTTTTTCGTGAATTTTTGACCTGTTTTTTGAGGTTCGGAAATTCCTGTGATGTGATAGCTCAAATCTGACACCGGAATCGTGATCAGGAGGAAAAATACTGCTGATAACATATGTCGCATGAAAAGTACAGACTACTTTTTTTGTATGTAGCTGTGTTATTACTCATATTTTGCGCTGTTCATTTCAATAAAACCTGTTTATTTCAATAAATAACCTACTGTAAAAGACACAAAAGGAGTATAATGCGTAAAAAACTGTGACACGAACGCTAAAATGACATTTACTTGCTTTGTTGTATTATTTTTTGTTTTCCAGGCATACATGATTAGTCAAAATATTATTATCGATTAAGCGACAGGGCGCTAATAATGCGGTATTGACTAATATTTTCATGCTTTTTTAAAATTTAAAAAAGTTGACTATCGCTTTTCAAAAAAATATTAATAAATACGCCCTAATAGGCTCACTCTACAGTGTATCCCACCGGGAATCGCCGCGATCGATATCTGGAAAAGTACTTATTTGAAAAATTTGAAAATTTGGCAACTTTTCAAAGTCAGTGGGGGAAACGCAACTAAAATATTTTCAAGGTCATAGCACTTCCGGTTATACCGGAAGTCGACACCATCTTCGTTATTTTAAATGGAACATCCTATATATTTTTGCATATTTAGATTCTACTTGAAATTTTAAGGTCACTTTGTATAACAAACTTAGTTCCTAAAATTTATGGTTTTTGAGATATCGACATTTTCATGAAAAATTTGACAGGTGCAAGGTTGTGCGGGATCCTTTGTATTTTATTCCAGCAACTAGATATCAATTTGAGATTTGGTATGTGAGTAGAACACATATAGAGCAACCTTACACAATATCCATAAATTAGAAAATATGATACCGAGTGTTTAATTTTCGACTGCACATTTTGATAACTTCAAAGAGTTATAACTTTGTTAACTTAAATGGAACACCCTGTATTTTTTTGGCCTATCTTGTGTAGTAATTAATTATCTCTCACGTGATGTAAGCATGTAGGGGATGTGGTCACAACTTTTAGAGATAATTGCAATTGTTTACTTTTATCTTTATCAATTTATATATAGCTTTATAAACGTGATACATTTGCGGCGCGATATCCAGACAAAGCGTCTGGTAGAGACTTTTTGACATTTCGACTCTGTCATAGTAAAACCAGACAGACGAGTACCTGTTGTTGATAGTTAGAATGTTGAAATTTCAATATTCTAATTACTTTAGGACATTTCCAATTACATATGTGAATGAAGCAAACGGTTCGCAAATTTCAAAAATTTTCTGTCAGACGCTTTACTATACTCCGCTTTAGGGGTTTACTTTGTTTGGATATCACGCTGCAGATGTATAAGGGTCTTGATATTGCTTTGTTACTTTGTCCGTAAATAATAAACAAATTAAAAAAATCTCATTACTAAAATGTTACAAATAATAATTTTACAGTTGTTGTTTAATAGTTTGAATGTCAATAACGATTGTTCGTACTCATAGACCCATTGATAAAATTATGTCAAAATTAAAAAATAATAGTAAAAATTGCAATTATCTCAAAAAGTTGTAACCACAGCTCCTACATGCCTACATCACGTGAAAGATAATTAATTACTGCACAAGATAGGCCAAAAAAATACAGGGTGTTCCATTTAAGTTAACAAAGTTATAACTCTTTGAAGTTATCAAAATGTACAGTCGAAAATTAAACACGCGGTATCATATTTTCTAATTTATGGATATTGTGTAAGGTTGCTCCATACGTGTTCTACTCACATACCGAATCTCAAATTGATATCTAGTTGCTAGAATAAAATACAAAGGATTCCGCACAACCTTGCACCTGTCAAATTTTTCATGAAAATGTCGATATCTCAAAAACTATAAATTTTAGGAACTAGGTTTGTTATACAAAGTGACCTTAAAATTTCAAGTAGAATCCAAATATGCAAAAATATATAGGATGTTCCATTTAAAATAACGAAGATGGTGTCGACTTCCGGTATAACCGGAAGTGCTATGACCTTGAAAATATTTTAGTTGCGTTTCCCCCACTGACTTTGAGAAGTTGCCAAATTTTCAAATTTTTCAAATAAGTACTTTTCCAGATATCGATCGCGGCGATTCCCGGTGGGATACACTGTATAGTGTATTTAGAACCATTTCGTATAATTTTTTGTTCTTTAAAATTATACTATAAATGACGGAGTTATGGCTCGCGGCGTTTTTTAGGAGACAACCTGTATAAGGCCCACTTAACTTAAATATGCAATAAATGGTAGGTATATTTTGTTGTTTAGAAAGACAAAATCATGTTTACTAATCACAAAAGTTAAACAATTAATACAAGAGACATCCTTTTAAAAACATTTGACTTTAAGAAAACTTTCTCTGGGCCTTATTAAACCAACGTGGCCCTATTATGAACTTGCAGTTTTTCGCAACTTATCTTCAAAGTGACTCTTTAAAAACATCCTTAAATTAGAAAAAAAAGAAATATAAAACTTATTACACAAAAAGTATAGTTAAGTACTTTCTAAAGCAAACTAGATAAACCAAACTTCTCTTAAAAAAATGAAAACTTCTCTTTCCATAACAAAAAAATTAAATGGTCGTAGACAAAGAAGTGTCATTTATTTTTTATATAAAATAAAGCCTAATTCGTTTTTTTTTATATAAACAATAAATGACACTTCTTTGTCTACGACTAAAACTAAATTAAACTTCTCTTAACTAAACTAATCACACATGTGCGTGGAAAGTGACATCATAAAATTATTTTAGCGCGAATTTTTAAATGTGGGTCGTATTACCTCCTGGGCCTTATTTACCACAGGTAACTTATTTTGGGGTTTAGATTCATGATCAGCGACCCCAAAAACATGTAAGTAAGATCCCTACTTCTGTGTGCCGATGAATATAGGTTTGTGTAGGTATATTTAAAATTCCAAAAATAAAACAAACTATTAAATTTCAACATGCGATTTCAAGGACGAAAAATGATATCGGGATACATCCAAATGCGTTTAAAGAGTAAGAGTAAGTAAGTAGTTTAAGATCCCATTAATGGTTTTAGCAAAAAAATAACTATCCATGTAAAAAAACCTCAAATATGTGAAATATGTTATTTTGGTTTTAGGTCAGGATATCTCGAAAACCAGAGCCCATTGGGAAATTTCGGAAAATAATCTGCTTTCTGAGTTAAAGGGTCGTCAGCCAAATTTTGTCAATATTTAAATAAGTAATTATTAAATATTGATGTTGATGTGCATCTAATTGTTATTAGATTAATTCACCTCAAATTTATTAAAAAAAAATGGTTTTGTAAATAAATACAATACGTGATGCGATTATCTTTTGTACTTTTTATTCGAATAAAAACAAAAATAAATAAAATTATTAATATCATTACATGCCGTTTGTACGAATATCTAATACAAATTAAACGTAATACTTCAAATTTAATGTGTGTCCTGTAGGAAAATGTTTTTTTATGATCTATTGCCTGTGACAAGTGTATATTGGGTGTCCCAAAATTTCGGCGTTGTTAAAAATGGAGCGCTACACGAAATAACAACTATTGAAGGTTTGGTAGCTACAGTTTGCAGTTTTCGTACAAAATATGGTCGGAATAGTGATTTAACTTCATCAACTGTGAAGAGATTAAATGAAAATTTCGGGACTGGATCGATTAGTGATCTTAAACTATGGCCGCCCTTCATCGAAGCAGTTCGTGAGAGTGTTGCTGAAAGTTCAGGAACGTCAATTCGACACCGTGGTCAAGAATTGGACATTTCGAGGAGTTCTTTACAACATATTTTCACGAAAGATTTGCATCTTCATGCTTACAAAGTTCAATTGACTCAAGAACTGAAGCCTACTGATCATGCAGAGCGAAGAGAGTTCGTTGAATGCACTATGGAGCAACAAGTGGATGCTGATTTTTCGAAAAAAAATCATCTTCAGCAATCAGGTTCATTTTCATCTAGATGGTTTCGTTAATCGACAAAATTGTCCCATTTGGGGTTCAAAAAATCCAAGAGTAATTGTTGAGAAACAAATGCATTCAGAATGTGTTACTGTTTGGTGAGGATTTTGGACTAGAGGCATCATAGGACCATTCTTCTTCGAAAATGCGGCTGGTCAGGCAATAACAGTTAGTGGTTCTCGTTATCGCGACAAGATAATCCAGTTTTTTTTGTACTTAAATTGAAAGATATGAATGTAGGCGACATGCGGATTCAATAAGACGGTGTCACATGCCATACAGCCCGAGAAACAATTCAATTACTGGCATGAGTCATTTCCTGGTCGAGTAATTTCTCGGTTTGGTGATCAGAGTTGGGCGCCCAGATTAGGCGATTTAACGCCAATTTTTCCTAGGGCTTTTTTGAAGCCTAAGGTTTATGCCACGACTACTGACCCCTTGAAGAATGAAATTGAGCGTTTATGCAAAAGGGTCTTGGAAAATTTCGATAAAAGAATGTGTATTTGCCAGCAAAGCCGTGGAGGCCATTTACCCGATATGCTATTCACACATCAATAAAAAAATTATAAGTTTTAATTAAAAACCTGTGTTTTCTATAAAAATTACTTCTTGCGTGAATTTTGAAGGCCCGTTATGTTCCTTGAATAAATATTAAACATAGGGTCATAATATCAGCAAATGTTGACCAGACTAGGTATATTTTTGTGTACAATTTAAAAGAATAATTTACGTAATATTCTACTCCCTTATTTCTTTAACCTTTCTGTCTAGGAAAAAAATGGTAAAGACTAATGATTTAGAACGTTTTCTTGGAAGTCAAAGAAATATAGCATCGAAATACAACAGTCAATTGTTTTTTTCTTTTAAATATTTTTTGAACTCCTAAAATGTCGGTATTTTCCATTTTGCTAGATAGAAAGATAAAAAAGATAATGGGTGGTATAACTCATATAAAAACTGATCGCACCAGACTACGTCTCAAAACAATCAACTTTTACAAGGTATGTCGATTAATTTTGGAGATATTGGTTAATTGATTCAGAAAAATCGTTTTAATGCCCTTTATCTCGAAAACAAAAGAAGACAGAATCAGAAAAAATCTTATATTTTGATGTTGTATTGCCTAGAATTTATGGTGTGTTATTCTGAAATATCCTGTATAAACAAAAACATTCTATGATAAAATTAACTACATTGTCAGTCTCAAGATTAACTCGCCTAATTAATATCTAAAATTGGTCTTTATCCTTCCATTGGGGTTGCAAATATTTTTCAATGTGTTCAGATACTTCTTGTACAAATTCTTTGTCCACCATCAGTCTTTTCATTTTCTCTGTTTGGGACTGATCTTGGCTTTGACTTGAATAATGTGAAGCAGACGGAGAGAATAGAGACTGAGCGTATTTCAACTTCCTCCTACTTTTGTTGCTCAAAATTACCTCGCATCTTAACTTGTCAAGTTGCTCTTGGGTAACTAGAAAAATAATTATATAATTTAAGTTGACAGATAAATATCCAGGTAATCATTAAAAGAAGAAACATATAAAACTTACTCAAATATTTAGCGATTACAAAAGGATCGTCCAAGTTAGTCTCAACGTCAACAATTATGTTCCTTAACGTATTCCCGATGTCTTTCAATGTAGCTTCCTTCACGTGTCCAATAAGATTGTTACCGTCATTCCAGTAATACGGAACTTTTTTGTTTTGAATCATATCCGCGTAAGTCTGCAGCATCTGTAAGATAGATAATAGTGCAGAAAATAAGAAACTACGCAAGGAAAGAGGTCATTAATACCGTCATGAGCACGTAGCTTAGAGACTGTTTCCAGAATCCAACTTCTTCCGTTTCTAGTTTCCATAAAAAAATAGTTTTGATGTAATAACTCGCTATTTTAATGTGGTTCTGTTTATCACGAAGTTTCTAAAAAATCACATTTTATCAATACTTGAAGACTTCGGTATTTTCAAATTGGTTAATAAATAGAATATACAGGGTGATTTTGCCATAATGTCATTAATTTTAACCACTTATAATAAGGCCTAGTAGACAGACAATCGACCTCTCAAAAAATCAGCAAATTACCCCTGAACTCCCGTTAACTCGGCGCCCTACTTTGCAACCGGCGGAGTACAAAGCTTTTAAACGTTGAACCGAAACAGCTAATGCCAAGTCGTCTTGTCGTCTCGTCCAGTTTTATATTCGATTTCAAAATCAAAGTGCAGTGGATCTCAACTTTATTAAGACTTTATGGACGGGTGAGTGAGCGTTTTTTTAGCCGTACTATCATTTTAAATAACACACTACTCTTTGAAAAGTAATGTCACTCAATAAGGTATACGTACTACAAACTGAATAATTAATTTAACATGATACTAATAACTTATATTCAATTATAAAACATAGTGAAAACGTTAACAATATTAATAATACTAAATTGTACAGGGTGTGGCGTGTATAATCTATAAAAATTAAACTACAGCTTCTTGATGATATTTGTAATAGAAAAGTGTCATACGAAAAAGTTCTATCTTCGCGTTTTTTTTTTGTAAATTAAAGTTCATTTATTCAACGAAAATGAAGGCCGACCTTGTGTTATTTATTAAAAACTTTGGAAATGTTTTTATGCGGCCTGAGATGCAACCTTATAATTTAAGTCGGTATAATCTAATACTTGTAATCCTAAAAGAAGGTTAGGAGGTTACAGTGTCAAAAAATGTGTGCAGTCAACTGATTTTGTATTTATATTGGATTCATTATTCACTTATTTATTAAATACTAAGCAACAATCAACCGAGAAAACAATGCATTTACTTATTCCGAACGTGTCAATATGGTGTTAGTGTGTGGTGCAGCCGGAGAAAATGCGCTCGCGGCGACTAGAATGTACCAGGAACGATGGCCACAACGTCACCCCCCATGTGCAAATACAATCCTATAGTGCGTTCAACGGTTGCGAGATACGGGAAGCGTTATTCCTCGAGGAGAAGGACGTAGTCAGCAAGTGAACCTTAATGTTGAAGTTGCAGTGTTGGAAAATCTTGACGAAGACCCCACAATTAGTACTCGACGACTCGCATAGCAAGTAGAGACCTCATCTCGTACCGTACATCGCATCTTAAGACGCCAGCTGTTGCACCCCTATCATCTGCATCCAGTTCAATAGATTTTACCCTCGGATTGTGATCACCGAATGCGTTTTTGCAGATGGTTTTTACGACAAAGTGCCAATCAAGTATACTTTCCTGCTTATGTTTGTGTGATGAGGCGACATTTACCGTGATGAAGTGAATTTCCATAATATGCACATATGGGCCGATGAAAATCCTCACGCGATTAGGGAAACTCATTTTCAACATCGGTTCTCGATAAATGTTTGGGCTGGCATAATAGGCGATGTACTTGTGGTCCTGTGCCGTGGCCACCTCGGTTACCCGATCTAACTCCAATGGACTTTTATCTTTGGAGTCACTTGAAGTTATTGGTTTACAATACCCCCATTGCTACTGTGGAAGAATTTCTAAACCGTATGCTTGAGGCTGCTGACACAATTAGGGGAATACCTGAAATTTGGGAAAATATTCGCCAAAATTGGGTGCGTCGGTACCATGCCTGTATCCGCGCTAATGGGGATCAATTTCAACATTTTTTCTAGAAATTGTAAGTTTTATTTCATTTTATTCCATATTTTAATAGAGTTTGTTTAGTGCACGCAGTTGGCAACTACAGATGCTTACGGATGTGGTTTTGTTTGCGAACTCTTGCAGTAAAAATATTGCATTTAAGAGAGTAATTACTATTAATTATTATAATAAGAAAATATCAGTTTCTTTAAATATCTATTTTTCTTAGTTTTTTACTTTTGCATTGAAAAATTCCCCAAAAATTGAGAAGTATCTTTCTATCTTTCAACGACGATTTGTTTACGCGGCTGGTCTACAGCACGTAACTCATCGTACAGCACACGGACAGGACCGTTCCAGAGAAAATATTTTGATCTATAATTGAACTTTAATTTACGAAAAAAAAACGCAAAAATAGAACTTTTTCTCATAAGATGCCACACCCTGTATAACCTAACATTGAAAACAATTATTATCCTTATGCATTTGTTTTTATTAACAAGTAAATAATACTTGTCAATATTTAAAAATATAAAAATATCTTATTCATTCATGTGTCTAGTAAGGTCTGTTTTTGTCGTTCACTATTAAAAACTTAGTAAAAGTTAATTACCGAATTTTACGGTAGGTCAAGATTCACTCTGGTTATACCTTTGATGATGAATGATTTGAAAATATTTTTTTGCATTTTAATTTTTTTAGTCGGGTATTCATATTCTACTAATTTTTCCCTATCTTCAGTTAAAATTAATGACATTATGACTGAATCACCTTGAAAATCCTGGGTGTGCCAATTAAAACTTCCCACTGGGAAAATATTGGAATTAAAAAATAAACATAAAAAATATGACACCGTTCAATTTTCTTTTCAAGGGGGACAAGTGATGACGTAAGTTTTGGTGTCTTGGAGGCTATCTCTTAGATAGGGGCTTAAAATACACTTAAACTTTAAATGGCACATATGTTGAGTGACAGCTCATTTTAAAGTTTTCCAATTCTGCTCACGACGACATACGACCATTTAAATTTTGGTTTGGATATGACAATAAAGTCATCACTTAAAGAATAAGACAAAATATCAGTGAATGAGAGAATGTTATATGTTCAAATTGGTTTCCCTCCGTTTCCATACAATAATAAACTATTTGCCCCACCGTCGAATGAACATTTCGAAGCACATCAAATTTAAATGTAATCGCTTTAACCGTTCCTTGCAATTTAAAAAAATACGATTTATCTTAATACCCTTTATCTATCTATCTATATGAATTTTTTTTTTTTCATTAATTTGTGACATTTGCTTTTCATATATGTATAAGTGTTTAGGTACTAAACGAGACACTTTTATCACAATTATTTTGAAACTGTCATTTCTCGAAATTATTTTGCTGCACTTCTTTATGTTCCTAACAAATGAGTATTTTGAAAAATGTATGCCGTTCATCGAAGTCTAAAATTTACAATACAACCTCTTACTTTCAATAATTTAATTGCCGGCTTCGTTGTTTTAAGCTCCTGGCCTGTTATGAGATCTCTTTCCTGTTCTTGAAATGACAGCCTCCAGTATCTTTCTAAAGTATCACAGTTTTCCATTCCATGAGGCTTTTTGGGGACAATTAGAAATGTATTCTATAAAAAGAAAATACTTTCGAATTAGAGGATATCATTTGAAAACAAAAATGCGTAATACTAATTCAATATTATCATGCAATAATAAAACAAAATCTCAATTACAAGAATAGATGAATCCAAAAGCGAAACTGAATTTTACTGCATGCTAAATTAATTAATTTTTCAGAATATTTTTCCTTCACAGGCATTTTTCATACTGCAAACATTAAAAAAAAATAATAAAAATATGTCTTAAAGTACAAAGATAAGTTAGAGGAAAAGTAGTAAAAATCAAGACTAAAAAATTATGTATATTAAATAAAGTAAATTTATATAAAAAACTATGATTATAACCTTAGAGCATATCTGTACCATATGGGTTAAGAGCATGCTTACGGCGCGGCGATAGTGTAGACGAGTGACATAGAGAGAAAGAGATAGTTTAGGTACTATCTTTCTCTCTCGTGCAGGTACGTGATTGGCTAACGCAACTCCCTTCGCTCTCTACCTATAGTATAAATGCTCAACGATTAGATAGAGAGAGCGAGCACACAAACTATCGCCCTTTTTCTCTATAGCGTATACTCTTTTTAACACACGATGCTTCTTCCATGTAGTATATGCTTAAGATTACAACAGATATCAGGAGAAGTTGATATTTTTTAGTTTTACTTACCCTAATCTTAGGAAAAGGATTTTTTCTGTAACCCTCTTCTGGCCATTTGTCTTCCTTAAATTGAAAGCAGGGAACCAAATCGATGTCTAAACTGATTGTCTCATCTTCGTTTCTTAATTTTAGAGTAAAAGCTGGATGAGCCTTCGAGATCATTACCTAAATATACAAATTAAAATAGAAGAAAAGATAATCCCACTTTATTTAATAACTTTAATAACAGATTGGTGCTGAAGCAAAATGTGTGGAAAAAATTAGGGATATACAGGCAGCTTTGAATTTGGCTATAGCTTTGAACTATTTGTGGGAATAGACCTTTTTAGAAATGACGTCACATACGCCAAGTAATAGGCAACCCCATATAGTCCGGGAGTTAACGACAGAAATTTCCGGGTCATTTTTGCAAGCTTCATTTTTTTTGTATGTGTTATGTGTTTAATATATAATAGTAACATGAACGTCTGCCGGCGCACCCCCGCGACGGGTGGTTACAGAAGGTTACAATTACAGCAAAAAATCAACAACAAAAATTTATAGCCGCATACGCGAAACTTATTATACATATCAGTTGAAACATAAGAAGTTTAGAAAATATCGTCTGCCACCTAAATTCCACAATAAAACTGGTCTGCCACCCACATAAGTAAGCGCAAAAAAAATATTTAAAAAATGTATATCCGCAAGGATGAAATTAATTGAAATGGTTCTTTTTATAGCAACAAACACGAAAATAATAGTCTGCTTTTAATAAGATACAACAAAGGTCGTCTGCCAAGCTTATGAAGCTGCGCTCGGCAGACAGCGCGCGAGCACCGCGCTGCATCTTTATCGGCTTGAAAGAACGTGAAAGACGATCGTTGTTGTTCTAAATGGTTGAACGGCTATCATAAAGTTGTTTTTTACATTATTAATTTAAAGTCTGATGGAGATGGTGTAAAAATTAAGAATATGTTGATTCGATAAAATGCTTTAAGATAAAAATATGATATTACTGTTTTACAATGACATTTGGAGATAATTATTTATTGATTTTCATTTTATTATGTAGAGGAATCTCATACAGGGTGAGTCATTAATAATGGTACACAGCTTAATGGCAGATTGTTAACGTCAAAATATAGCGATTGAGCCAAACATGCCTTAATCAATTGTTGCTCATTTTCGTTCTACAGGGTGTTAAAGTTGTAAAAATATTTTCTTTTTTTATCTATATTTTAAGTATGTATGGACCGATTGCTTTGAAAATTTGTAGTTTTACGTTTTCTGCGGAGGCAAATACGAATATGCAAATAGTGTTGGGGTTACGTCTAGGGGGCGCTAGTTGTACTGTCCTGTCAATGCGAAAATATGTCTAACTTTTATATTTTACAATTTTGAATTTTTAACTAGAAATTATTGAACTGCGTTCAATTATAATTAAAAAAAGTATACTTACTTGTTACAAATCGATAAACTCAAATGTTTTCGAGATACAGACATTTTAGTTTTTGAGATTCGACGGGAATTAAATTAGAAAATTATTTTTTCCAAAGTAGTAGGCATGGACACAATAAATTGACAGCTGTCACTACAATACCATATTGTTTTCTACTCAATTTGATTAAGAAGTAGTTTTTTCCTTGTTATTTTTTAGAGAAGAGAATATCTTAACAAAAGGCTAAGAAAGTGCATTGAAGTTGCTGGAAGTTAATAATCTGTTAAGATATGCATAATATAATCTTTAATTGCTGTAATGATTGTCTTAATTCTTAATTCAGGCTTGGTATCTTAAGACCTGCTAATTTTCTAATTTAATTCCCGCCGAATCTCAAAAACTTAAAACGTCTGTATCTCGAAAACGGTTTAGTTTATCGATTTGTAACTAGTACAACTTTTTTATTTAGAATTGAACGTAGTTCAATAATTTGTAATTAAAAAATTCAAAATTGTAAAATACAAAAAGTTTTTAGATTTTTACATTGACAACTAGCGCCTCCTAGACGTGACCCCAACACTATTTGCATATTCGTATTTGCCACTTCAAAAAACGTAAAACTGCAAATTCTCAAAACAATCGGTCCGTACATACTTAAAATATAGATAAAAAAGAAGATATTTTTTCAACTTTAACACCCTGTAGAACAAAAATGAGCAACAATTGATTAAGGCATGTTTGGCTCAATCGCTATATTTTGACGTTAACAATCTGCCATTAAGCTGTGTACCATTATTAATGACTCACCCTGTATTAGATTCTTCTACATAATAAAATGAAAATCAATAGGTAAATAATTATCTCCAAATGTCATTGTAAAACAGTAATATCTTACTTTTATCTTAAAGCATTTTATCGAATCAACATATTCTTAATTTTTACACTAAAAGGTCTCCATCAGACTTTAAATTAATAATGTAAAAAACAACTTTATGATAGCCGTTCAACCATTTAGAACAACGATCGTCTTTCACGTTCTTTCAGGCCGATAAAGATGCAGCGCGGTGCTCGCGCGCTGTCTGCCGAACGCAACTTCATAAGCTTGGCAGACGACCTTTGTTGTATCTTATTAGTAACAGACTATTATTTTCGTGTTTGTTGTTATAAAAAGAAGCATTTCAATTAATTTCATCCTTGCGGATATAAATTTTTGAAATATTTTTTGGCGCTTACTTATGTGGTTGGCAGACGAGTTTTGTTGTGGAATTTAAGTGGCAGACGATATTTTCTAAACTTCTTATGTTTCAACTGATACGTACAATAAGTTTTGCGTATGCGACTATAATTTTTTTTTCTTGATTTTTTGCTGCAATTATAACCCTCCTGTCGCGGGGATGCAGTGGCAGACTTTTATATTACTATTGTACGTTACACGGAAAACGCATACAAAAAAAATGAAGCTTGCGGAAATGGTGTAATGAAATCTGTCGTTAACTCCCGGACTAATAGTGCACATTGTCATGAAGAATTTCTCAATATTTTTACTAGATCGATTTTCGACCTTATGTACAGGGTGGGCAAATAAGCGAGGTAAGCGGCTGTATCTCAGAAACTAATGATCGTAGAGAGCTACGGTAAAAAAATTTATAGGTAAAGTGGGCAAGGGAAAATGCTGGAAATTATTTTCAAGTTTCCAAGATGGCCGCCAGTGGGCGTTTCCACCATCTTGAATTACATAAAGTTACGTTTCTCGCGATTTTCCCCAATGAATGTAACAAAAAAGTATTTGCGTTTTAATGTTAACTTAAAGTCGAATATTTTTTGTAAAAACAATTTTTCTCTATCTTTCGAAATAAAGTGGTGGGGGGTATTTGAATGTTGTTTTAAATAAATGCCTGTAACTTCGAAACGGCTTAATGGATTTGGATAAATTTGGTATCATTGAAAAGAGCATTTCTTGGGCTTTTAGGTTTCTCGTAATCATGACAGTTGCGACCTACACGGCCGCCGATAGAGGGCGTTATTCGATATTATAACCAAAATATTGGATTTTCTCAAAAAATTTAAATGCGATGATATGACTTTTTTTAGACTAGAAAATAGACAAATGACCAACCAATAAGCCTGCGCAAACCGCATCTTAATATCTTTTTCCTAACTCAAATTATTAAAAAAAATACTAAACCAGGAAAATTCATATATCCCCATTTAAAAATGCATCGGTTGCTTTCGATAAGAAGGCAAGTAGTAGGCCATGGACACGACAATCGCCTAACAAAAATATTGCCAAGTAACGTCAAACTTTTGTCACACGCAGCCTAATATTGTTGATTGCGTATAATTTGAGTACTTTTTAATCAAAATGCCTCTCACAAATAATGAAGCCGTTGACATGATTGCGATTTATTTCGAGTGTTTTCAAAATGCAGCTATAGCTGCAAGACAGTACGCGGCACGGTATCCAGATCGCCGTCATTACGGGAGAAGAATGTTTCCGCGCTTGGTACAGCGATTACGCGATACTGGAAGTTTTCGTCGTCCTAAACGTCGCAGGCGTCGCAATGGAAGGACCGAAGAAAACATTATCAATGTCTTGGCTTACATAGAATTTGATAGACATGTAGGAACTAGAACATTGTCTCTAGACTTGGGAATAGCACGAACAACTGTTAGAAATATTTTGAAAGATTATAGGTAAATAATTTTATCTTATTCCAAGTATCTTAGCACATACTCTCAAATACACAATTCAGTGTTATTCTGATTATATTATTTTTACGCATATGTTGTTTTTTACTTTTAGATTACATCCTTACCACATAGTTTTGCACCAGGCGCTAAATGAACAAGATTTCGATAATAGATTAAATTATTGTCAATGGATGCTAGGCATGCTTGAGGAAAACAGAAATTTCTTAACGGAAATTCTCTGGACCGACGAGGCTACCTTTAGTAGTGATGGTAGAGTAAACCGTCATAATATGCATTATTGGTCCGCTGAAAATCCGCATTGGTTAAGAGAAGTGCAGCACCAGGGACGCTGGAGCCTAAATGTGTGGTGCGGTATCATTGGGGACAGAATTATTGGACCTTATTTTTTTGATCAAGCTTTAACTGGTAACCGCTTCTTAGAGTTTTTGATCAACGACTTGCCAATTTTGTTGGAAGATGTGCCACTCGAAACTAGGAGAACTATGTTTCTGCAATTAGATGGTTGTCCGGCACATTATTCAATTAATGTCCGAAACCATATTAACGGGACCTTTCGAGAACGCTGGATAGGAAGGGGAAGCCTATTTCCTTGGCCGGCAAGATCTCCGGACTTGACATGTCTTGATTTTTACTTGTGGGGACGCTTAAAAGACATTGTTTTTCAAACTCCACCAACAACACGAATGGATATGGAAAACAGAATTCGAAACTCAATTCGTCAACTATCAGCGGTAGAAATCGAGGCTGCGGTTCTGTCGACTCAAGAAAGACTGGAACAATGTGTGGAATATGACGGAAGGCAATTTGAACACAGAAGGCATTAATCTTTTTTCAAAATCGGTCCTTTTCAGGACCACAACTTTATTTAAAAGGAAAATCGCTTATAAATACGAAAACGTGCGACTTAAAATCACAGCACTAAATAAACTGACATTTCTTGTGAATATTTTAGAGAGGAGTTTGTCTTTTATTTCCATGGCCTACTACTTGCCTTCTTATCGAAAGCAACCGATGCATTTTTAAATGGGGATATATGAATTTTCCTGGTTTAGTATTTTTTTTTAATAATTTGAGTTAGGAAAAAGATATTAAGATGCGGTTTGCGCAGGCTTATTGGTTGGTCATTTGTCTATTTTCTAGTCTAAAAAAAGTCATATCATCGCATTTAAATTTTTTGAGAAAATCCAATATTTTGGTTATAATATCGAATAACGCCCTCTATCGGCGGCCGTGTAGGTCGCAACTGTCATGATTACGAGAAACCTAAAAGCCCAAGAAATGCTCTTTTCAATGATACCAAATTTATCCAAATCCATTAAGCCGTTTCGAAGTTACAGGCATTTATTTCAAACAACATTCAAATACCCCCCACCACTTTATTTCGAAAGATAGAGAAAAATTGTTTTTACAAAAAATGTTCGACTTTAAGTTAACATTAAAACGCAAATACTTTTTTGTTACATTCATTGGGGAAAATCGTGAGAAACGTAACTTTATGTAATTCAATATGGTGGAAACGCCCACTGGCGGCCATCTTGGAAACTTGAAAATAATTTCCAGCATTTTCCCTTGCCCACTTTACCTATAAAATTTTTTACCGTAGCTCTCTACGATCACTAGTTTCTGAGATACAGCCGCTTACCTCGCTTATTTGCCCACCCTGTACTTTAGACATAAGTGCCAAAAAAATGTCTTCTTTTTCATGATCTTAAATATCGCAATATTCTGGCGATATTAGAAATATATAAAAAGTTTCAAACCCCAAGTGATAAACTAAAAGAATTAGAGAATTTATATATTTAAATTTATAGAACAACATTGACTTTTATATAGTAATTAATAAATTAAAATTATATCAATGTTACTAAGAATGCGCATTAAAGACAATTTTATGTAAGCGAGGTAGCCTCGCAACAGGATATTATTCAAGAAAAGTTCGGTTAAGGTTAAGAGCACGTCTACATCTACAATAAACTACTTGAAGAAAAAAACACTCGATAAACAACTGACACAGCATAGCCTCAAGAAAAACAATAAAAATACTTAGTAGAACTCGAAAATGCCAAGATTAAACAAAACAACAGAAAATATGCTAATGATGACAGCGATAACATATCAACAAAAGCTCACCTGCGTATGAGACTATTCCTTCCGAGCATGAGCATTAGGAATAACACGGTTAATGTTAAATTTTTACTTTATTTAGATTTAGGAATATTCTTCTATATAGTTTTTTGTAAATTTTAAGCACATTAGTGTATCTATATTACGAAACACGTGTTGGTTGTTCTTAAATACTTCTAAATCCTTGTAACAATAAATTAATTTGAAGTTGTTTATTTTTATAGTACCTATGTAAATAGTACATAAGGTCAGATTCGGTCTGTATAATTTCTACTATGACTATTTGTTGCGGGTTACCTAAATATGTGACGTCACACTAAAAGAGTCTATTAATCTCTTCTTAAAGCTGTTTTACATTGACAATTTATTGATAAATTAATTCATGAGATCGCTTCATCAAGAAATTGGACAAGTGTAATGCACCAAATCTGCTGTCAAATAACATCATGAATTTATTCATCAAGTTCTTGACGAATTAGAACATGTTCTAATTTTCGTCAATTTCTTCGTGAAGTTCAGAAGTATCAACCCAACAGATTTCCAGCCTCAGATCAGTAATGAGGTTATATTATTGGAATATGTAAATAATTGTGTGGCGTCGTACTAGTTTTGCATTGCTTTTACTGATTTGTTACTTACAAACACCACAAAGTAGAGTAATCTACAAGTTTTATTGCATTCTCAATCTTCTAGGCTGTTATCTCATCTCTCAGCACAAAAAGTAGATGGATAGATGGGTGGATGGGTGGGTTTTATAGGTGGTACAGGTGGATGGATAAATATGCGTATTCATGCATGAACGACTGGATAGAAAGATGTATGAATTCATAAATGGGTGGGTGGATAAAAACATGGATCCAGAACTCTGCAACACGAATTATGCCATGAAAATGGAGTTTTTGATCTGTTTTCTGTTTTTGAATGAAATTGGACCAGCTTGTCTGACTCTAAGATGATAAATTGGAATTAAACGAGTGAAAAATCATACGTCTAGTGAGCTGGTAGAATAATTTGACTTTTTATAACTTTCGTCGATCGTAAATGACGTTTTTTTGTGAATTTTGACCAGTTTGTTTACTTTTCCCGAAAACTGACCCGTTGGGCCAAATCTGAAGGCAGATTCGGATTCAGCGGAAAAAAATACATGGAAATGCATGGGTCTGAATACCAGATCCGATACTCTTTTTTATGTTATCTTGCAAATTATTACATTCTCTGTTATAGGTACTGATTTTTTTACGGAATTTGCAACGAATCTCGTCATTCAAAACTCATCTACAGGAATTTAAGATCACTAAAAGTGGGTACTTACATAAATTCTAATAAAACCACTGTTACCAAAGTCAACATCTATGTAGTATTTATCGTTTTCCCTCTTTAATCCATTTAAGCTTAAATGTATAGTTCTTTCTATCCATTGCAAAACTTTAACAGTCGAGAGGAAATTTTTAGAGTCCATTAATGCATGTAGTTTTCTAGGAAGAGGCAAACATATTTAGTTTTTTTTTTACTAAAAAGATATGGGATTATTCATACTTAAATTTATTCCATTCCTTTCTGCTTGACAGTCTCTTATATTCCGATTGTGTTATCTGAATATTCACAAATCCTGGTTTGTCGCTAGATTTCAGGATGGGGTCAATTATAGCCGGTAAATTTAACACAAGGTCTAAATCATACTCCTCGGGTTTACCAACTTTAATTTTGTCGTAGAAACTTCCCCCGTAAAATTTTCTCTCATATGTACTTCTAAACAGAACATCTTTGTCTTTCATCAAAGAAGCTAATCGATCAGTTACCTAGAATAAAAAGAAACGAGTAAACATTAAGAATAGCAACTTATAGAAAGAAAGAAATTAGGAAAAAAGAATAACGAGGTGAAATTATTTGAAAGTGCAATTTTCAAAATGTTTGTAAGACCAGTTTTACCAATTTTTAATCAAAAAATTGGTCAAGAACGTAACCAAGTTACATTAGGAATAGTAATACAACAAATATGGTCAATAAATTGAACACCATAGAACTGGTTCTAATTTATTTGCTCTTCAAAATCTATCAGAATTATTGTAACTATATTATTTTGTGAATATAAGGTGTTTACTAGCTATTTCATTTTTGTGAAGATGCAGATCTACCGCATTTTGGTCCGCAATCGTGGTTAGAAAAGATTTATGCACAGCATTGGATGGGTCGGTTACCACAAATAAATGATTAAAAGATAATCTTTGTATAAGACCAACAGCTTGGCTATTTTGTTCAAATGATTCAGTGCCGTATTTTTTTGCATAAAAGTTCTCCAGTTCCACAGCACTAATGGAATTAAAATTCTACCAATTAAAACAGGTTTTTCATTTATAAGTTGTACCAAATTCGATAACAATACCACAAATATAACAAATCATGATGATTTGATTGGGCCAAAAATTGTTAAATATTATCTTCTAAAACAATTACCAGTGAAATCCTTTGGATGGTATGTGTATGGCTAGTACACTATAATTGCGTCAAATTTAGATATCTATTAAATAAGTAATTAAAATGATTTATTTTTTCAGACGTGTGTTAAAATCTTTTTCAGTGTCTGCGTACAAAAATTTACCAGGGGGTAGTCCGGACCAAAATAAAATTAAAATCTTATAAAATATTTTTCTGCCATGCACTCTCACGGAGTTACAGGGTGTTGTTAAGAAAAAAATAATAACAACTTTCCGCAATAACTCAAAAAGCCTTCCAGGGAATTAAGTAATTTTTGGGTGAAGTGTATATCTATTAAAGCTCATTAAAACTACATAGTGCTGATTTCGATTTGACTAAAGGGGCGGCCTAGACCAACTTGTCATCAAGGTTATGTCTTCATAACTTTTGCATATCCTAGTTTTATGTAATTGGATTACGTTTTCCTGAATCTGCAATCGATTCTGAACAAAAAATGTGCGCTATTTTCATAGCTCAAAAATGAACCGTCTTCGAGTAAATTGGGTCTAAATTATCTACTGTATTAGTTCGTAAAAATATGCATGTAAAGATTTTATTTCTTGTTATCTAGTAGGTACCTGTCATTATAAAAAACAAACTTGTTTTACCGTTGAGGTACAGTTTTCCATGAATATGAAGAAACTAAACAAGTTTTCTATGAATTATTTAATATTTGGTTACGTATAGAGGAACTGAAAATTATGTAACAGAAACGAAATTATGTTAGCAAAATGACAGTATTAATAATAAAAATAGAAAATAATTATTTCAATAAATGCTCGAAATGCTGCCCGTTTACTTCAATGCATGCCCGACATCGTTTGACCAAGGAATTGTAAACCCTTCGCAAATCAACGGTTGCTTGAATTTGCTCGGTGGCTGCATTAATTTTTTGAATCGTCTCTCGTGTTACTGGGTTTGGAATACACCAGTTGTTTCATATGACCGCAGTAAAAAAAATCAAACGGGTTGAGGTCAGGGAACCTGGGAGGCTACATAATAGGTCCATTTTTCCGAATTCAGAGTCCTGGAAAATGTAAATCGAACCACTCCGATACCTGTCTTCTGTTACGAGTAGGTGCTCCATCTTGTTGGTAGTACATTTGATTTCGCAAAGATAATTGAACTTCATCTAGTACGCCATCAACAATATGTTCTAAAAAATCCGTGTATCTCTCTGAATTCAAACGGTCTACAATAATTTGAAGAGGCAGAATGACTCCGTTGAAGATTCCGCCCCAGACATTTATGGGGAATCTTCTTTGAAACACGGAGGGTCGTATCATATGCGGATTTTCAATGGATCAGATGTGAAAATTTTTTAAATTATTTATAGCATTTCTCGTAGATAGTTTAATCACCCCACAATATCTTTTGATGGAAATTTTCACCATTATCGATATTTTCTAACAACCACCTGCAAAATTGTAACCTTTTTTCGGAATCACCAAGATTCAAAATTTATACTTTATGTAGGTGGTATGGGTGCAGTTCTTCTCGGTTTAAAATTCTCCAGACGCTGCTTCGTGGAATACCTACTCGCGTTGATATTCTTCGGACACTGGTGGAAAGATCATCAATAACAGCAGCATTCTGTATTTCCAATTTTAACATTCCCGATCTCACGGACTCTTTGGAAAAGGTTGCCTTCTATTTGGAAACCTGTGTAGATATTCTCGTGAGGCCACCAATGAATTTCCATCACAGAAACCGTAGACAAATATCATATCAGCATATTCGTTGTTGGAAAATTTCATAATAATTTCATAATCTTGTTGTTTTGTAAACTTAATTTCTAGTAACATCGAGTACTGTAATTAATTTTGACATGTACGCTTGTAAACAACTTTGTTTTTTTATAATGACAGGTACCTACTAGATAACAAGAAATAAAATCTTCAAATGCATTCTTCTACGAACTAATGCAGTCGATACCTTAAGGTACGTTTACATATATATTTGCCACATATATTTATATCGTTCATCGTACACTTCTCTCAGCTCAGTTAAATAAAAAGTTTATTCGACAATCCTACACGATGAAGTAGACCTTTTTAGTAGTGACATCAGTGACATCATATTCGATCGATTTTCGACCTTATGTACTTTGGACATAATAAATGCCAAAAAAATGTCTTCTTTGTCATGACCTTAAATATCGCCATATTCTGGCAATATTAGAATTATTTAAGAAGTTTCAAACCCCAAGTAACAAACTAAAAGAATTATAGAATTTATATTTTTAAATCTATAGAATAATACTGACATTTAGAGTAATTAATAAATTAAAATTATATCAATGTTACGGAACATGCGCATTAAAGATAATTTGATGTAAGCGAAATAGCCTCGCAACAGGATACCATTCAAGAAATGTTTGGTTCTGGTTAAGAGTACGTCTATAATAAACCACTGGAAGAACAAAAAACACTCGATAAACAGACTGACACAGCAGAGCACAAAGAAAAACAATAAAAAATACTTGGTAGAACTCAAAAATACCAAGATTATACTAAAGAAGAGAAAATACGCTAATGATGACAGCGGTGATATAACAACAAGACCTCATCTGCGTATGAGGCTATTCTTCCCGAGCATGCGCATTAGGAATAACACGGCTAATATTAAATTTCTACTTTATTTAAATTTAAGAATATCCTTTTATATCATTTTCTGTAAGTTTTAAGCAGATTGGTGTATCTATTTTACGAAACACGTGTTGGCTGTTCTTAAATACTTCTAAATCATTGTAAAAGAAGTTAATTTGAAATTGTTCATTTCTATAGTATCTATGTAAATAGTAAACAAGGGACAGATTCGATGTGTACAATTTCAACTATGACAGTTTGTTGCGGGTTGTCTAAATATGTGTGTCACACTGAAAGAGTATATTATCAACACGAAAAGCGGCCATTGCGATATATTTCAGAAATGGCAAGGAAAACGAAGAAAAAACGCTCTGTCTGGGTTCGTGAGTGGAACTGGTTCCTGAACTTATGGATTTTCCTTTTAATTTTTTCTACAGTAGTAATAAATTTTTCTGAGATTTCAATGAAAACATTTTGCCTTTTTACTCGATCATTATAAATTTTACTTTTAATGTTCCATAATTCGGGTTTCGCATAGTATAACTTAATTAGTTCATCAATTTCGGCTTTTAACCACTCTTTTTTGTTATTATTTGACACCACTCATAGTACCTTCAATGTCGCGACACTTATTCAAAAGTAAACCGCTGTTCAACTACAGAGATATGTGTCGAGTTAAAACATGAAAATAATAATGAGTGGTTACATCTAATGGCAGAAATGTATCGACACTTATTGCTGAACGTTGAAATTCCTTAGCGTTTACATTTATATATACGTCTGTCTGACACAAATATAATGTAATAAGTGTCAGATATAAACGCACCTTTAGACCCAATTTACTCGAAAACGGTTCATTTTTGAGCTATGAAACAAGACCACATTTTTTGTTAAGAATCGATTGCAGATTCAGGAAAACGTAATCAAGTTACATAAAACTAGGATATGCAAAAGTTATGAAGACATAACCTTGCGGACAAGTTGGCCTAGGCCGCCTCTGGCAGCAGATCAAAACAATCACCATGTAGTTTTAATGACCTTTAATAGATATACACTTCACCCAAAAATTACTTAATTCCCTGGAAGGGTTTTTGAGTTATTGCGGAAAGTTGTTATTATTTTTTTCTAAACAACACCCTGTAACTCCGAGTGCATGGCAGAAAAATATTTTATAAGAATTTTAATCTTATTTTGGTCCGGTCTACCCCCTGGTAAATTTTTGTACGCTGACACTGGGACACCCTGTATAGGCAGAAGCTAACACATAATCAAGGAAAACTGTTACCAAGTTATCCATGGAAAATGTCAATGTCATTCTAAATTACGTGATTGAAAATCTCTATTGAACAAACCGCCGTATAAAATGGCCAATTACATAAAACCTAAATTTAACTGGAAACTTTTTAAACCGCAGAAGCGATATTTAAGCAACAAGTTGGACGCCATCGCTCTCTCAAACGCCACTCATAACGTTGAAGAAGAAAGAGTTGAAAATTTGGACGAATCCGGGAACAACCGAGTGAGGTACAATGTTTGTAGGGACAGAGCGACGACTTGTCGGAAATTTGTGTTCGGAGATAAAAACTTACAGAACAACAATGTGACAGAACCTCAAGATCAATTCGACAATGCCTCGGTACAGCCAGAAGAGGAGTTAGCCAATGCCAATCACCCCGGTAGCGGTAATCCCATCAACAGCTACAGACCGTTCACCGCCTCCACGACTTACAAAAATGTTATATTGCCATTGAAGTCGTCAAAGCTGGCGAATCCGTTTCCTGAGCCGGTTAAGGTGATGCCGTCCCATACCGTGTCGGACCAAGAGAAAGCCGAGCAAATGCAAGCAGAGTGTAGGATTCCCAGATCTGTTACAAAAACTAAAAGAGTAAATTAATTGGCACATGTCTGTTTATTCTAATAAAACTGTTGTCTTTATCAAAATGGTTTTTTGTTTTATTAGTAGTACCGTATAGTAGCAGTTTTTCTTTTAATCCAAAATGACGCATTTTGACAACCCAAAAAGTGTGAGGGTGGATCAAACGATCCCTATTTGGAAGTTCTTATTATCTCGTTGTTTTGTTTGTAAAATTGTGTCAATTAGTTGCTGAGGAAAGGGATATTAGCGGTTACTCAAATTAATCAATTTAATTACTATTTATTGTTTAATAAACATCTCTGATAACTAGTAAATAGGTAGTGTCTCACTCATGGAAATTAACTTATTATTCATACTCTAGTCGAATTAGATCATAAAACCAGAAAAATCTTAAAAAATTATTGGTAGACTATGCACTTTATGACATATTGAACTGACCCTCGCACTATGTCCATCTTGCTCACTCTCTCTATAAACTGGTGGATTGACATTGTTCCCGTTTATTTTACCGGTTGTTTCATTTTAATACACTCAGCATTTTAAAAAAGAATATTTAAACCCCTAGACTATACAGGGTGTTAAAAAAAGAGTGTAAAACATTTAAGGAGGTAATACTATGAACCAAAATAAGCAGAAAAGTCTCAATAAACATGGGTCCGCAAAGTAACGGTTGCGGAGATATGGAATGTTTTATGTTATTTAGCCCCTTTTTTATTTTGCAAAAACGTTGTGTATTTTCTTATAATAGTTGGTTGATGTTTAGTGAAATAAACAATACGTATTTGACAGTTGTTCTTAGTGCACAAGTTTTCTTTCGCTATGGCTGGTTACTCTAACGCAGAATTAACAGACATGCATTTCATGTATGGTCGTGCTAATGGGAACGCCACCGAAGCGCGACGTCTTTATGTTGACGCTTATCCAAATCGCCAGATTCCTTCACAACGCATGTTTGGAAGAATTCACCAAAGATTGCGTGATACCGGTTCCTTGAGCAAACAGTGCCATTTATCCGGAAGACCAAGGTCGGTATCCACTCCTAGAGCAGAAGAAGAAATTCTAGCACTGGTAGAGCAGAATCCAGGTACGAGTGTGCGGAGAATATCAGCCGAGGTAGGAATTAGTGGTCCTCTTGTTTGGAGAATCCTTCACGAGCAACTGCTTTATCCATACCATGTGCAACGAGTACAGGCCTTAAATCCAATAAATGATCATCAAGCACGTTTGGTTTTTTGCCGCTGGTTTCTACGTCATGATGCTGAAGACCCTCGTTTTCTTGCAAACATTCTTTTTACTGATGAGGCCGGGTTCACAAGAAATGGAGTGTTTAATTTTCACAATACGCATATTTGGGCCGACGAAAATCCTCATGCTCTAATAGAATCTGGACATCAGGCACGTTTTTCATTAAACATTTGGATGGGTATTGTAGGTGACAGGTTTCTAGGTCCTGTTGTTTTACCAAACCGATTAACAGGCGCTGCTTACCTCAACTTTCTGCAGAACACACTGTATGAGTTTTTGGAAGACATTCCTTTGAATCAGAGGCAACAAATGTGGTTCCAGCATGATGGTGCTCCAGCTCATTTTTCCATGGCCGTTAGAGAGCATTTACACCAAACTTTTCCACATAGATGGGTAGGAAGGGCCGGACCTGTTTTATGGCCTCCAAGATCGCCTGATCTGAACCCTCTAGATTTCTTTGTTTGGGGATATTTGAAGACATTAGTGTATGGTACTCCTGTAAATAGCCTGGAAGAGCTGCAGCTACGGATTAATCAAAAGTGTCAAGAAATCCAAACCAAGGAGGGTGTTTTCGAAAGAGTTCGAATATCGTTGAGACGAAGATGTCGTGCCTGCTTGGAAATGGACGGAGGGCACTTTGAACATCTTCTGTAACTTTGTTTTTTGTTTGTTAAAAGCTTCCTTTGTCGGTTTATTCCTAATAAAATAAAATGTTTGAAAAACGAATAGTGGTCCATATCTCCGCAACCGTTACTTTGCGGACCCATGTTTATTAAGATTTTTCTGCTTATTTTGGTTCATACTATTACCTCCTGAAATATTTTACACTCTTTTTTTAACACCCTGTATAGGCGGTATCTGTTTTGGTTTGGGTGAATCGTATATCCACGGAGATTTTTGGCTTTTTGGCTTTCAAATATCACTGGAAATGAAAATTTTTCTATGCGCATAAAAAAAACGTGGGCTTAACTTTTAGCGGCACAATATGTTAAAAAAATTCGAAAAATCTCATATTTTTCTTCCTATTTAGTTATGTATCTTTTCAAGAGTTGATTTTAGGTGAAAATGGAAGAGGAAAAAATGTTTGCAATTAAATTATTTACAAAACATGTCTAGTTACAAATCGATTGAATCATGATTATTATGGTGAAAATCGAAAAAATCGCAAAAATTGGGTTAAAAACAATACTTTTTAGGGATTTTTTTTTAGGGGCATTTAAATTGGGTATAGGACCTTTATACTTGGCTAAAAAAAACTTCATGTTATGTAGAATTATCACACCAAATTTCATCAAAATCGGTTAGATAGATTTTGCATAATAATTTTGCAATCCAGATTTTGAAAAAAAAATTGCAAATTTTCAAAATTTTGCACAGCAAAAACCAAGTACCTTAGATACTTGAAAATTTAATCACATATAGAAGGGTTCTCAAGCTTTTAAACTTTTTTAGAAAAATTCGAATCCGTCAATTAGGAGAGCTCTGGCGCTTGTTTAAACATTGGTCGAATTTATGTACTTATAAACAATTAGAACTTTGTGAATATTCAATCAAATCAAATTTTTTAAAGCAGGTTTTAAAAATTCTTGGAGACTTATTTAAAAAAAAAACAGAACGATTGATCAATTAGTTACGTAGTCATAGCCGCCATTTACACTAAATGTACTAGCAGAGAGCGCGGCCGCTTCGGCCTGCTCGAAATTGAATACTTTGTTAATAATAAAAATAACGAACATTATTATTTTCTCAACTATTCAAATGCAATTATCTCAGTATAACCAAATTTGAGATACGACAGTTTTCCTTAGGGGAGTTGATATGCACCCTAATAACAGACAAAACCAAATAGGCCCCGATGGGCGTCGGGCATACTTTTCAGTGTTCATCGAAATCCCCGACCCCAAAAACTCCCTTGTGGAAATTTAGAAGGCAATTACTCAGCTATTCGATGTTTTACAGAAGGCCCCCCCTTGCCCCTCTGGGGGGGTCCAGGGCCGTCGGGCATATTTTTCAGGGTCAGATTCGGAATCTCCGACCCCGAAAACCCGTGCACACAAATTTTTACAACTTTTAGTCAATCTTTACCATTTTTAGAAAATTCGGAAAAATTGATGCACTACAAGATGCACTTTATGCACCGGCAATGCAGTTTCGATCCAAAGTGTAATAGATAGACTTTTTTCCTGATATTTTTCCGAAGACAATGCTGAAAACCGCAACTCGATCGGTTCATCAGAAATAATTTTCTGATTTATTGTCTAACTTGCCTGGTCTATAAAGTATATTAAAATCAAAGAGGAAACGACTTACCTGTTCCAATATTTTGTTGTTCCGTTTTTTCTCATCCTCCGGTAGTGATATGTACTTTTGATTAATTTTATTCAATACATTTTCCATTTGATTATACTTCTTCTTTTCATTTTCCATTATTATTTTTAAATCTGAGACACAATAATAAAACACACCTTTCCCTGCTTTGTTGGAACGTCTACTAGTGAATACCTACACTACAGTCACTGATCAGTGATATGTCAATGGTTACTGGAACAGGTATTTCTGGGTTTTACCTAAAAACGAGTGTCTAGGGGATTTTCGTTTAACTCAGATTTCAGATCTGTTTTTTACCCGCAGTGGTTTATATCTATAGTATGGATCAAATTAAGAAAGTGGCAGTAATTCCTAGTTATAACATTTTATGAGACATGTAACATTGTAACATCTAAGTTATTACATTATATTTTATTGTAAAGAAGAAATGAGGTTATGTTTCTGTTTTAGAGGTTTATTAAAGTTTGTGGTATATTATGAACAAAAGCCGTAATTATTTGTTTTAGTTTGATTGCGTAATATAAATTTATTACTATCTTATCTTTGGAAAAGTACTTACCGATCTATGAATCTAAATAAGTAGTACGTGAATCTGGCGATGTCGTGTTCGACATAACATTTTTAAAGAAAATGCTGAACATTTTGTATCTATAATAGTAAATATTATAGCACCTTCTTGGTTAATATCGACACTTTTAACAAAGGTAGGAACAGAAGCCAAAATATTAATATTCTCTAACAGTGAACAGCTGATTGCGATTTATACAAGCTGTTCTCGTTTATTACTCTGACTATGACATCATTCTTACGATCATTTCAGTGGCGTTTCGTTACAATATATATAAATATCATATATATAGTCGTTTTCTCTAATTGTAAAACATTTAGCTTCAGAAATATTTTAGAGCAATATCTCTGACGTATATAAGAGGGGAAACACACAACTGAATGGGTTTGTGAATTTTAATTCGAAGCAGATCTGTGTCCTGCAATAAATGCACAGATAGGCGCGAATGACAGATAAAAATTGTAATATATTATCTGGATGTTTAAATGCTGACATTTTATAGTAGATTTGATGACAAACTAGGCATTTGATTTTAAATGGAGTCGTTTTTATACAGCAGATTATATACCATTCAAAATAAAAACATCATTGGCAAAGGATGAGAATTCAACTTTAAGTATATTTGTTTGATATAATTTTGCTTCATTTGCTGTATAGTTTTAGATCTTGAACTTTTTGAAGAACTCTATTGATTTAGTTGTTCTAGTTAATGTCTTGATCTTCTAATTTCTATATTTTGTACCAGCCAATTAATTATTTCTATTACTACTACAAGTGAACTGATATTATGGAATGAAAAGAAAAAAAATGTTGAAGAGATTTGATGTATTGTGGTTTGCCTATACTTGTATGTCGTACAGCAGTCGTAGACTGATCGATTTCAGACTAGTCAGGGTCAAGTCGAGAGATACTGTCTGTTGAAAGTGTAAGATAGAATACACCATAAAAACTCGCATATCCAGAAAAATTACGTGGATAGTTCTATAAACAAAAAAAATTGTGTTGCTTTGGTCTCAAGCATTGTCAACAATGATTATAATTTTCGAAAATAAATTGGTTTTGTGAATTATAGAAAAAAACATTGCAATATCAAATATGTGATGACTTAAATTTTTAAACTTATTTTAATCTTCGAAAGAAGATTAACGTTATGCTATATTACATACTTTCAAAAATATATAGAATTTGTTAAAAGTTTAAAAAAATAACTATTTTTTATATCTTTCTAACTGGAGGAATTTTGCAAGTAAACTTAAAATTATTTTTCTTCATAACCCTGTACTCAAAAAAAATTGTGGCAAAAAAAATATCAAGAGACATTATTCATTCAAAATTAAAGGGACCCGACCTCTTTATTAAATTAATTAAAGGGGCTACCGCAAATGGTTGTTTGGAGAACTTTTTATTGCCGCATATTGAGGCAAAGAGCCAAGTAACATATTTGAATATCTCAATATAATAAATATAGAATAGTACGAAGCCTGTTCAGACTATAACCGAACGAATTTACTTTGATGTCATCAATAGTCTGAAAACGGCTTCTTTCGGCACTGATTGTATTTTCGTAAATAAGAAAAAATCGCAAGGAGCCAGGTCTGGCGAGTAAGGAGGGTGAGGGAGGACAGTAATATGACGCAAAACTGACAAATTGACAAAGCTGCGTGTGAAGGCGCATTGTCATGGTGCGAGAATCATGAGTTGTCTCGCTACAGCCCTGGTCCCTTTTTGCGGTTTTTTTCATGTAACCGTTGCAAAACGCCTTGATAGTACACATGGTTCACTGTTTCACCTTTAAGCAAGAATTTGAAATGCAGAATTCCATTAAAGTCGAAAAAAACAGTGAGCAACACTTTGACATTGACGTGCTTTCTTGGGACGTGAAGACCTGTTGCCAATTCATTGTGATGATTGTAGACTACAAGCCCATCGGAAGTTTTCAAGGGGTCAATTGACCCAGCATGAATTACTTATAAATCAATAATACCACATATAACAATAACTTTAGAAACTATGCCGTCAATTCTTGTTGGCACAGGTGAGTACACAGGTAAGCTAAACCTGTCCACCAAGGGGGGCGGGGGTTTGGTTTTCGGCAAAAACGTTTTTGTACGGTATTTCTAAAGTATATAGGTTATACAAAAAAATTAACCTCGACCTAATGCCGTACAAAAATAGCAATACCGGAAGCCAGGAAAAATTTTGATTTTCTGAAAATTTTGGCCCGGTTTTTGGAGATTTACGGCATTTATACTGCAAGTTTCGGATTGTTCGGATTGATACGTAGATAACATTTTTAGTGACGCTGTACGTATCTGCTGATCAGGGGTTAGAAATGCAGGGCGCAACCCTCTATTTTAGCCCCCATTGCTTCAAGTCATTGAAAAATGTACGGTATCGATTCCACATGATTATTTAACTCTCCAGATAATTCTTAGCAACTATGCCGTCTGAAAATTATGGTTAATACAAAAGTTTATAAACGATTACTTGTATTTTGCAGTTGAGTTTTATTTTTTTTTTTCGATAAGATCATTAATTCCTGTACGGCAATCACTTTTTTGATAAAATATAACCAAAAACTATCGTACTAAATCATGGCCGGTTATAATTAATGCTACAAATTAAAAATTCGAATTTAAAAACAAATAAATTTTGAAAATTTACAATATTTTGAAAATTCCTTGTTATAAACTAAAAATGTTATATTCAAAATATTATGGCCGTAATTGACTTTTCACAAGTAAAAAAATATAAAAAACCAATGCCGTACATTTTTAACTAGTGGATTTTACATAACTGATAATATTTTTCATTAAATTTTTACTACATTTTTAGGTCATTAATAACTATACGGTATTTACAAATTTTCATCAGAAATATAACATAAAGAATGAAAATTGCAATGCCGTACACACCTATTTGTTGGAACAATTCTCCGAAACTGTAACATCCAAAATGAGTTTTATCCTAATTTCAAGAGAAATTTCATTTATACCGTAGAAATTATGATGGCATTGTCTTTAAGTTAAAAAATTATTGTGTATAGAGAATCGAGAAAATATTTTGAAAAATTTAGAAATTTAATGACGTGCAAGAAAGTATTATTTTTAAGTAAATATAATAATAAACAGTTAATTTTAACTCAATATTCATGAGAATTCCTATATAAATACTTACATTTAAAACAGTGATATAATATATGTTTTGAAGTAACAGTACCCTCGCATTTGCATATTTGCAACTTCTGTTACAATTGTTTGAACAATTTATTTATGTAAAAATTGTGATGAAGCCATTGGCATACAATATATGTTTAAAATTAGTAAAAATAATTTAAAAGTGCATTTGTTGCAAAAACAACTTTTAAGATTATCGGTTATAAACATGAATAAAACCACATAAAAATGTATACGCCGAAAAGAAAAAAGAGACAGAGAAAGATGTTTCGATGGACAGCTAGAATCTCGAAGAGGTAATTTTAATTTTAAAATAAAACTAATTCCAAATTTTTTAAAAAATAATCGAATGCAGATTTTTTTATTGATTTTTTAATAATAATTTTTTGGATTTTGAAAAAATTTTACTTAAAAACTTGTGAAAAAAAGAAAAATTAATAAGCTTTTCAAATTTATAAAATTAATAATTTTTATATCGACCTATGGTTTTTTAACGGCATATTACTTAAAAATTATTTTCCATCTTAAATAATGTTTTAGCAACAATGGCGACCATTTTTCAATGATCGGAAACCATAAGGGTCAGAATATAGGGGTTTGCATCCGGGGTCTCTCAATCCTATAACGACAAATATGTACGGCATTACTGAAAAATATCGCAATATGATATTGTAAGTCTTATTATAGAAAGGCGTACAGTAGTAAATAATTTGTATTAAGGAGAAAATAATAGTGAAAATAAAATCAATTCTTGCAAGTAATACTTATTTGCAAAAATATATTTCATGCCATTTGGAACCATATTTTTTGTACGGCATTTTGTTTTTGTTGATTATGGTTGTCAGTATTAACAAAATATATTAATGCCGTATAGAAATTTTTAACCGTACAATCCTACTTTTCAGAGGGAAATTAATTTTCCTATAGTAAGCACATGTTCCATAAAAAAATGTACGGCATGGCCAAAAATGTCATTATTTTATAAAATAGAATTAAAATTAGTGAATTTGATGTTGGATCAAATCACCCCCAAACGCTACTTACAAATAGCACTCTGTATTCCTAACCCCTGTAACAGCAAGTACGTACGGCGTCGCTTAAAATTTTTTATCTATGTATCGGTCCGAAACTTGCAGTATAAATGCCGTACTGTAATAAAAACCTGGGCCAAAATTTTCGGAAAATCAAAAATTTTCCTGGCTTCCGGTATTGCTATTTTTGTACGGCAGTAGGTCGAGGTTCACTTTTATTGTATAACCTATATATTTTAGAAATGCCGTACAAAAATGTTTTGCCGAACACCCCTCCCCCCCCCCTTGACTTACTTCTGCACTCACCTGTACCAACAAGAATTGACGGCATAGTTTCTAAAGTTATTGTTATATGCGGTGGTATTGATTTATAAGTAATTCATGCTGGGTCAAATGCCTCTTGAAAATTTCCGATGGGCTTGTAGTCTATTGAACTTTGCCTCAATGTCGTAGCCTTAAACTCAGCTTTCTTCTCAAGTTATGATTCTTTGAATGAAGGTACGAGTATCATCGTCATCGGATTGTTCAAGGACTGGACAAACGCCCACATGATTTTCTGTTGTTCGGTTATCAAACGAGGAATAAATTTTGCTGCAATATTCAATTTTTCAGTTAAAATTTCATGGCATGTCCCAATTGAGATGCTAACATCTTCTTCAACTTCTCTGACAGTCAATCGGCGATTTGCATGCACCAGATCTTTGGCTTTCTGAACATGGCAGTCATCGGTTGAAGTCGAAGGCCTTCCTAGTTGAGGATCATCTTCAACTGACTGACGATCACTTTTAAATTGTGAAGACCATTCCGTTTTAAAAGTTATGACGTTTCCGTGAAAGTTTCCCCCAGTTTCATGCAAAATTTTACGTTGCTTTGTTGTTCCAGATAATCGCACATTTCAAGAATCGTCACTAATACCTAAACACCCAGATAACAATACACCTAAACACTCAAATAATAATATCATGAAAACTAAATGCGATATCAACATCCAGGAATA